AACAACCTTGCCTAGTTTTGATCTTTATCATTATTAGCGTGCACTGAGCTGGTAACATGAAGAGAGGATGACAGAAGCTGCAGAGGAGCCACACTGGTGGCAAAGAGCAAGATCAGCAGCGGTGGCAGCGGTGGCAGCGGTGGCAATGGCACAATATTGTCAAGAAAGCAGCAGAGTGGTTCCAGAAAGTGGCGGGTGCAGTTATCCGAAAGCACTTTCGATTCTAAGAGACTGCAATCTTTGCTGTACCCACGTGGACAAGTGAATAATACGTCTAGAAGTCACTTAAGACTTAATACTGCCAGCCTTTGGGTCCTCAAGCTGTTTTCTCAGTCTATTTTTAGGAGAACAATGTAACCACCAACCTTATTTGCCTTGGATTTCTCATGTAATCAGCTTTTACAACCTAAGTTAGGGCACACCTGCAATCTGAAAGTATATGCTCTGCATGCCTCTGACCCACACAACGCACGTGCATCATTGGCTGAAAGCAGCAAATCCAGAAGTTGAAAGCAATTTCCTAAAATCTACTATAAAGTTTGAAAGCAACCGTTTATGGATATTGGTTGATAGATCGTGGATGTTTGTTGTCTGGAGTCAGTTGGGGTCTGTAGAGCCAGCAACTTAATCCCTTATAAAGCTCTGTTAAGGGTTTCTGTAAAATATCCCATCCCTTCCTCATGTGCTGTGCAATAAATACAGAGTGAAGCCCTTTGTTGGGGGTAGAGATACACACAGAAAGACACACAGAGACACAGAAGACATGGGGAACTGAAGTAGAGAATCCAAATCTGGACCCACTCCTAGTTAAAGGACTCTGAGGGGAAGTGTTCTATTTCTCTCCTTTATGTAAGGCTGGCTGACACATTATTGGTAACTTTGAGTTAAGCACTAATGTATTATGGTCTGTGCAAGGGACCAGAAGTGTAGAAACAAGGAACAGTTGCAGTACAGAGAAAAGGCAAGAGAGACTGGAGAGATGAAGGTGAACAAAAGTAGTCGACTTTGGAGAGCTGGAGATGAGAATCTACAGGCCCTAGTTGCTGGGTGAGGTCCAGCGAGCTAGCTGCCAAGCCTTACGTTTCAAGGGTTTCAGATAGCCCAGGCCTGAGAGCTATAATAGCTGTTACCCTAGGTCTGAGGGAAAACTTTAACATTAGGAGGTACCATTCACTCCTGTCTGCCATTGCCAAGCAATGCCGTTCAGTACACTCAATACAGGGTATCTATGAACAGGGCTACTTGCCAGGGGTCAGCCTGAGCAACAAGCCTTCAACCCGAGTGCCTAGAGCCTGAAGTCTCTAGATTTTAAAGCATAGAATTGCCCCTGACCCTCAAAGTTTGGAGCTGTAAGTCCCTGGGTCTGCCAGTCCAGCCCTTAGGTCTTCAGCACTCAAGGGCCCTTGGTTGGCAGCTTTGGAAAAGCCATTGCCTACTCATAACTTTTATCTGGGTACAGCACAAGGACCCAGCAAACTCACCAGTAACAATACTTAAAAAGACATAATTGGAAATGTGTTCATGGATTTAAAAATATTGATATTGTTAAAATTTCAATACTGTGAGGTTTTTTTTTTTTTCCTATCAAAGGCATCTTGCAAACCGGGCGGTGGTAGTGTGTGCCTTTAATCCCAGCACTTAGGAGGCAGAGGCAGGCCAATCTCTATGAGGTCAAGGCCAGCCTGGTCTACAGAGCAAGTTCCAGGACAGCCATGACTGCACAGAGAGATTCTGTCTTGAGTAAAACAAAAAAAGCAGCTGGCATGCCAACAGCCAGTATTCCATAAATCTCCCCCACCTTTAATCTCTATCACTTGGTAAAACTTTTGTATAGAAAAAGGCCCCACTGCATTCCTGGAACTTGGTAGCCTGGAACACCTACCCTTTCCCACTCTTCCTTTATTTTCTTTGCACTGATTATTTTTAAAATTTGTTACTCATGAAAGACTGTGAGGTCAGACCCCAGCCAATGGAGGAAGAGACACAGTCACCACCTGCTTTAAGATAAAGATCAAGTGAGCTTCCTGTCCTAGCATGCTTGTTACCCAGTTTGGGTTTTGGTACACCCATTTTGCCAAAAGAAATTGCTTCGCTGTCCTAGTTTGCTTTCTATTCCTAAGATAAAACACTTGCCAAGACCAGCTTTTGAATGAATGGGTCTATTTCAGCCTTCAGTTTGGGGCCCATCCCCGGGGAAAGCCAGGGAAGGAACTTGAGACAGGAACTCAAGCAGATTTTATGGAGAACGGGGCTTACTGTCTTACTTTGCGTTGCTTGCTCAGCCCGTTTCTTATACAATTCAGGACCTGCCCAAGGGTGGTGGACACAGCCCACAGTGGGCTGGGCCCTCTCATACCAATCATTAATCAAGAAAATGCCCTACAGACTTGCAAACAGGCAATCTGATGGAGGCATTTTCTCAGTTGAGGTCCCTCTTTCCAGATAATTCTAGCTGGCAACAAGTTGACAAAAAAACAACCAGGACAACAAATCCCTTGTCAACTTGACATACCAATACATAATTATCAAACTATAACCTTCCCTTTCTTGTTTATCACCAAT